AAAGATCATTAAAAGCATAATTTTTAGCGTCACAGATTGTTCTTTTAGACTCCCTGCGAGCCGTTTGATATTTTCTCCAGTTCTCTAAGTTTTTACATTTAAATCAATTTTTATAACATAACTTCTTATATTTTATCTTTTCTTGCACATTATTATTCCACCACCAACTATTTTTATTTGTAAATATTTTTCCCTTTGATTCTCCAAGAACATCTTTTGCTACATGTTTAATAGCGTTTGTTACTTTATCCCACATCACATTTGCTTCTTCATGAATATCCCAAATTTTGAAATCTTGAATTTTACTCATAAATTTAATTTTATTTGTATCTTTTAAGTTTCTCCATCTAATTCTGCAATGATGAGTCCTAGTATTTTTTATTTTACAACTCTTAATCTTAAAATCTAAAACTAATAAACGATGTTGGGTATTTAAATTTTCACTTGGAATGACTTTACAATCTTTACAATCACGACGATCTCTTCTTCTCATAAGAAAATAATCAATTTGTGTTTTATTAGATCCACTCTTATAAGTAATAAGATGTTCATCCCTTTTCTTGAATAAAGTATTAGTAATAACAAAATCAAACGCTAAAGCAAAATCAATTTTTATTAACACTGCCGTTGCCGGTCCCAAGCCCGGATGAGAAAAGTGGAGGGTTGCGTTAGGTAGTCGACAGCCAGCGTAAAACTTGTCGAAAAAATCATGACAAAAAGCTAACAGGTAAAAAAATGCATGAAAGAGTATTAAGTATTCAGACATCATAGGGTTGCTCAAAGAATTCTCCAAGCAATCAATTATCATAAAACAGAGGAATAAGTAATGTTCCTACAAAGAAAAGCTTAAGCCAATTTGCAATTACTATTCTGTTAAATTTTATGTAAGTTACTTGAGAGTAACCAAAAGCTACAACAACAACAACAACAAAGCCTTAATCCCACTATGTAGGATCGGCTACATGAATCCTTTTTCTCCATTGTGTCCTATTTAGTGTCATATTTTCATTTAGTTCTAGTAAATTAAAATCATTTTTAATACAATAAGCCCAAGTCTTTCTAGGTCTACCTCTGTCTTTCTTAAGACAAGTCGAATCTAAAACATCTACTCTCCTAATCGGATCATCAGATGGTCGAGTTTAATGTGACCAAACCATCTAAGACAACTTTCTCTAATTTTGTCTGTCACAGAAGCTACACCAACCCTATCACAAATAAATTCATTTTGCATTTTGTCTCCAAGTGTAAAGCCACTCATCCACCTAATCATTCTCACTCGGCAACACTTAACTTATTATTATGCTTCTCTTTTAAAGGCCAATATTCAACGCCATATAGCATGACAGGTCTCACCGCCGTCTTATACAATTTTCCTTTCAGTCTATGCGGTACTTTTCTATCACACAAAAGGCCCAAAGCATTCCTCTACTTCAACCAACCAACTTGAATTCTACTACTAACATCCCCATCTTTCCGATCTAAGGATATCATCAGCAAAAAGCATACACTAAGATACATCCTCCTGTAGATGTCCAGTAAGACCGTCCATAACTAAAACAAAAAGATATGGGCTTAAAGTCGATCCTTGATGTAATCCAACAGAAATAGGAAAATATTTGGTCAATCCTCCTTCAGTTTGAACACAAGTAACAACTCTAGCATACATAAAATACTGTTCCTCCATTCTTCAGGCATCTTTTTAGTTTTTAAAATAATATTAAAGAGTTTAGTAAGCTAGGAAACTCCCAAATCTCCCAAATATTTCCACACTTCAATTGGGATATCATCAGGTCCTACAAACTTTCCACCCTTGGTTTTCTTTAAAACCTCATCAACTTTTTTTTTACTAATGTGATGGTAAAAATGAAACGTTTTTCTTTAAAGTCTCATCAACTTCTTTTTTACTAATGCGACGGTAAAAATGAAACGTTTTATTATTATTCACGATATTAAAATCACTAAGGTCGATCGTATTTTCAGAAACTTCATTAAAAAATTTATCAAAGTAACCCACCCACCTATGTTGAATATCTTTTTCTAAGAAAAGTAATTTTTTATTTTCATATTTAATACACTTTACTTGAGTTAAATCTTTACTTTTCTTTTCTCTTTATTTGGCTAGTTTATACATATATTTTTCACCCTCCTTAGTATCTAATTTGTTAATGTTTGTTACTTTATCCCACATAACACTTGTTTCTTCATGAATATCTCAAATTTTGAAATCTTGAATTTTACTCATAAAAATAATTTTATTTGTGTCTTTTAAGTTTCTTCATCTAATTATACGATGATGAGTCTAATAAACGATGTTGGGTATTTAAATTTTCACTTGGAATGACTTTACAATCATTACAATCACGACGATCTCTTCTTCTCATAAGAAAATAATAAATTTGTGTTTTATTAGATCCACTCTTATAAGTAATAAGATGCTTATCTCTTTTCTTGAATAAAATATTAGTCATAACAAAATCATACGCTAAAACAAAATCTAAAATAGCTCTACCTTCTTCATTAGTTACTCCAAAACCGTAGCCACCATGAGTATTTCTGAAATCTTCTACCACACTACCGACATGTCCATTTAAATCTCCTCCAATAAAAATTCTTTCTTCAAGAGGTATCATTTGTATTAAGTCTTCTAAGTCATTCCAAAATTTATCTTTAGACACTGTATCTAAACCTACTTGAGAAGCATAAGCACTTATAATATTAAAAATCTTAGTATCAATGATAATCTTAAGGGCTATAATTTTATATCCAACTCTATTAATTTTTACAACATTATCTTTCAAAATCTTATCTATAATTACACCTACACCATTTCTAGTGCGACTCTTACCAGAATACCAAAGTTTAAAATTTAAATTATCAATCTCCTTAGCCTTTTCTCCAACCCATTTAGTTTCTTGAATACATAAGATATTAATTTTCCTATAAATCATAATATCAACTAATTCTATTAATTTACTATTGAGAGTACCTATATTCCAAGTTCCTATCTTAATATTTGTTTCATAATTTACCATTGAGAGTAACCAAAAACTAACATGTACAAAAATACACTAAGAGTATTAAGTATTCAAACAACACAAGATGCTCGAAAAATTCTCCAAGCAATCAATAATCATATAACAGAGGAACAAGTAATGTTCCTACAAAAAAAAGCTTAAGCCAATTTACAATTACTATTTTGTTGAGCTTTTGTAATTTACTTGAGGAAATGTTGGTTCTAAACTACCAAAGCTTGAGAGAAGAACATTTGATGCAAAGGAGCCCAACGCTTTAAAAAAAACGGTAAATCAATTTAAGAATGTAGTTTACCTCAGAAAAACTATCACAGCCACTATCTACAAATTTAATACAAGCACACTAAATCTAGAAAGGCCAACAGTAGAGCGAGACACAAAATGAGTCATCATTAATAGTAACACATCAAACAATCTGCGAATAAGTAGCAAACACATTGTGCAATTCAAGCACTAAGAAAACCAATATTTTCATAATGGACATAAAGGATCTTTCACTTTTTTCCTTCCAACAAAAAAAGCCCAGTTCTCTGATTACACCAGAGAGTAAACAAAAACATAAATTTGGTAGAAAAGCGATAGAAATCAAGATGCAGGCAATACAATGTTGAAGTCTCTAGACAGTATGGAAGGATTTGCTGATCAAATTAAATACAACAAGCACAAAAAAAGTTTCTACATCCATTATGACTTAATGAATATGCCTCATGCAAACACCAACAAAATAACATGATATAAATGCAATATACTTCGCAAAAAGTGACAACAGTGCTCTCCATTTTATTTTTTTCTCATAACAGTTAAAAAATCATGACATGATGTGTTTCCTCCTCCAACCAAACTCCAACTAATGAAAGCTCAATAATATGAGTCGCTACAAGAAGGCCAAAAAAGATCTCTAGTCTGATGGTAAGGTGAGAAGTTAATCCAGGAAAGCTAGATGTTTTAATTAGCCTGCTTCTCGATAGAAAATCCAAGATCAATTAGTCACAAAGTGGTACCTTGACTCTACATGGCTTTCAACATCCCAAAGGAAAGATCCAAACGTGACAGCTTCCAAAATAAGATTTTTCAATCCTCCAAAGCTTATTTTGATAAGCTCGTCCTTAGAGTCATCAATGGCACCTTGGGGGCTGATTACTATCTCGGGCCTCCCAAATAATGCCTCGGTCTGCTTCTCAACAACACTAAAGGCTTCCTTTGACCGTATTGTGGCATACCTCTGCAATGTCTCAGAATCAAAGGACATAACATAAGATCTCAAGCGAGATGATTTGGCCCGACCCTCAAACCCACTCGAGTTTGAGCTTGGTGAATGCAAAGTTGGCAACTTTGATAAGGAATTTGCAGCTTGAGCTGAAGGCCTAGATTCATCAGAAATTGCCTTCTGGATAGCATTCTCTTCCTCCTCGGATCCCCATGGTAAGGTCTTCATTGATTTCTCAAGCTGAAAGTGCTGATCCACTCTCTTAAGGAAATACCCATACATGACAGAGGCTGCATAGACCTGCCCAACACGAAGCTTACTGACTGGAGCAACCGAGTTCAGATCCTCCAATCTCTGACCTAAAATGAGAGTGAGATGATTCTTGATCATCTCATAAGCCTCGGGAGAATGGAGCTGCGCCAGTTTTTCTTCCTCTGTAGAACGTCGATGCACGCTATTAGAATGATCTGCAGATTGAGATATTGGAAGAGTCAACGGGACATTAGCTTCTACAAACTTTTGGACGACCAAAGCGTACAGGATCTCTTCAAGAGCCCTTCTCCTTTCATTTGCCCTCACCTCAGCAATTCTCCTAAAGAACACAAGCAAAAAAATCCCAACTTTAACTTTCCTGCAGTACAAATTCAACCAAATCAAAATGAACATATCAGCATACCTATACAAAACTAGGTCCGTGCCAGAAGAGGAAGACTCGTCGTTGCCATTATCCTCATCGCGAGCGGTCTGAAGTAGCTGTAGCTGCTGGTCAACAGCAGCGGGAACAAGATGGGGGTGGCTGAGGAGGATCTCCGAGAGGAACTGGCCAACCGGAGACTCCAGTTGCAGAGGGGCAAGAGGAGCTGAATCATCAGACGACGACTCCGATTCAAAAGAAGACAACGATGCGCTGATATGGGACCTTCGGCGACCTATCATCCAAACAGAACGCCTCCCCGATACAGAAAACGAACGGCAACCCTACTCAAATCCATCGAAATAAACAAAAAAGGAAACTAGTCATATACAAACTAGACCAATGGGAAAAAGAAAGAAAATAACCAATTTCGAAACCCTAACCGTGAGCCAACTCTTCTTGTCGACCAAAATAGAATTGGTGGAGCGGCTGAAAGCCAGAACGCGGTATCGAGATTCCAAGATCGTATTTTTGAAGTGGTGAGAAGGAGACGAACAAAGCGAGGCGACGGCTTCCATGGCGATCGAATCAATTCCGCAGAATTCAACGAGAACCTGAAGCAGATGTTCGGAGATACCCTGTGGAATAACGAAGGGAGGAATTCAAAGCGAAATCTGCTACCTTGCAGTAATTGGATCTTGTAATGGAGATGAGGTTAGACGCTAGAGGTAGCGGCGTGTAGTGTGCCACAGCAGCTCGGTTCTGTTGTATTACTCTTTGTTTAAGGTTTTGATTGGGCCACATGGGCTACTTATCGTGGAAAATTTTTTAGAAATGGAGTCTGGTTCCGGACTCCGATAAAAGCTTGTTACGCCGTATATGATTGGGAATGACGAAAACATGTCAATTACGTCCTAATAAACACCTCAATATTATTGGATGATCCTCACGCACTATTATTAATACTGTTCACGGGTGTTATTACAATATTATTGTGATATTATTGAAATTATTTTGCGAGGATTATAGACGTGTTACCGCAGTGTTATTTGCATGCTCCTCCAGACGGTGATTAGCATTGATCACCGGTGTTATTGTGATATTATTGTAGAGTTATTCAAGTTATTTTGCGAGGTTATTGAAATGAAACCGCGAGATTATTGCGGTGTTATTGGAGTTGTTTTGCAATAACACCATGATAATAGTCTTTTCGTCATTTTTTAGGTGAGTCCAATTAGATACACGTGACAAGAATTTATTTTAGTATGGACGCAGAGCTACTTTGATACTCAGTAGGTAATATTTTTTTCCTTATCGTGGGGGCATTTACATGCATATCACACAATTCTTATGAAGTTACACATCTAACATTTAAACATTCACTCAAAATTTTAACATCACATCAAAAAATACCATTCTCGTTATCTTTTTCTAAGTGAAATACACATTTTAATTGATAAATTTATGATACCAACATATTATAAGTGTAAATATCAAATTTTGGGTGTTGGATATTTAAATACATAAGAGTTGTGTGGAATGCATGTAAATTTTCCTTTTATCAATTTGTGAAGCCCTGGCAAGTCCTTGGATTCCATCCAAACTGCAAGGAAGAGGATACTCAATGAATTTGCATCTATGCCATCCATTTTTTAGGGGTTATTTTATTCATTATTATTGAAATTTTAATGGTTGAATTGTGCATTATCAGTAATATCATATCATTTAGGAAATAATTTATTACGGGAGAAGAATAAAGATGTGAGAAATATTTTTGTAATGAGGAAATGGTTAGAAAAAGTATAGTGCAATTCTTTGAGATTAGAATGGGCCCTCCCCTCCGCTTTATATGGCTTCTCATATTTATAGATTAGACTCAGTTTTTGAGCAAATTACATAAATGATTATTGATGCTTGCTAGAAAATTTACGGTGGTAGAAGAATAGACTATCGTCTTAGCGTTGTACGAAAGTTCAACACACACACAGATGAAAGAGAAAATAAGTGGTGATGACTCCAGAAGTTTTTACGTGGAAAACCACGGGGCATGGCCCAATTGCGGAAATCCACTGTTGATTGATGATTACATAAATTTCTTGTCCCACAGACGGGAAATGGTAACTATATTTTTCATATTACAATGTCGGCTGATGGCGTCTGGTTGGTGGTGATTGATGACGGTAGGTGGATGTTGACGACGGTTGGCGGTGGTCGTCTGAGGTCGGAGTGGTTGTCCGCTATCGACGGCGGTCGAAGACGGAGGTCGGAGGTGGTCGACTACGGAGGTCGGCGGTGGTCGACGATGATTGGTGGTGATGCTGAGTTGCAGCTTCTCCTCAAGATCTCAGACTCTCTCTAGACTTCTTCACCCCTCAAGAGAGGGATAGAGCTCTATTAATAGTGTTCAGGGTGCAATTAATGCAGAAATATGAACCATTTTGATCAGACGGTTCGGAGAGCTTCCCTCGATCATACGACATTTAATGAACATTTGAGTGCCTTAATGATGTTAGAATTGAGTGATCATGGATTCGTTGGATTTGTTTTGTCGAGCCGCTCGAATTGAGTATAAACTTGTCATATTTGACAGTCATTTGACTTTCTAAAAGTATTCATAAATCCTCTAACTGTGATTTAATGACTTGATATGAGCTTGATTTGACTTGGATTGTGCTAGTTTTCATATTATTAGACCCGTCTCATTGAACATGTCAGTTTGACTAGAATATTGTTGAAATCAGAACTCTGAATGCTTTTTTCTCAAGATTTAAATGTTTCTTGCTTAAAATATCATTTCTTGCTTAAAATATCATTTAAAATATCATTTCGAGATTCGTGTTGGATGATGAAAATTTGTTGGTGGTGTATCAATTATATAAAAAAATAAAATATATTTTAAAATAATAACTACAATATATGTTCTGATTGGGAGATTTCTTTAATGGAACATGCTTGCTGAATTGATATATATTGTATTATCTAACTAACACTTTATATATCATAGTAGCATTGCTTCGGTAAATTACTTGTTTAGAAAATATTTTTGGAAAATAAACACAAAAAAAAACAAAATTATGTTGGGTAAAATTTTTCTTAAAATACATATGGTCAAAATAGAGGCAAAGCATTGAAAGTCAACCTGCGTTTCCTCATTGGCCATTAGTTCTTCCCATCCCTGCTGGTCAACAACCGCTCGACTCTGCCCTTTTTGCTTCTTTTAGGGTGGGAAAAGTGAGAGCACTCATAACTTTATTCATGCAAAACTGATAAAGACCCACTCCAAAATGTAACCCATGCGAGGCTTGGAGAGCAGTTTTCAACCCAAGGGTGTTGACTTTGGCAGTCGGAGCATCCGACAGAGAGCTAAATTGAAATCGATCGATATTTGGAGTTGTGCAATTGAAATGGGTAAGCATCTCCTGAAACTCTAGTTAACCGGCGATGTATATTTCCAGTAGACAATCTTTTATGCATGTGAATTAACGACAATTGACAGATTTCACAGGAGCGATTGGCCAACCACACCTGTCTCCTTAGGCGACCGAATGGTCCCATTAAAACAGGTGGGCAACAAGATTGGTTGCCTCATCCCTGCCGTCTAGTTCACCGGATTGAAACCTCGAGTGATCCTTGGGCCCCACCAAATCAAAAAAATTGTAATACGTCGTACAATCCCAATTAGAGTAGGGGTCTCTGTCTAATTTTATGAGTCATGCCTCCTTTATAAATAAATAGGACGTCATTTTAAGAGTAATGGTTACACAAACTTAGCCAATAAAAGTGGAGAAATGTTAATACACTTGTTCTAATTATTGTTCATTAGCCCTCTCTCTTACTCTTCTTCTATGCTCTATTACTTTTTGTGTGGCCCACAAGAGAAACTCATATTTAACATCTTGAAAGGCGTGATAAGTGTAGTCCTGACATCGAGAAGAAGAGCACAACACAAAGATGAAACTTACACAAGAGAACCGGAAAATATGGATCAGACTAGAGAATTTGTTCAACAACAAATGATGAGATGATGGGACAGATGGCAAAACTGACTCAGGCAGTGCTTGGTGGAAGGAAACAAGTTTCATAAGAGCATAATCTATGGGAAGTAGAGCCCAAACCCCAAGGCTGTCAAGCGGCTCAGAAGTAGAAGAAATTCACAGATTCTCAATACCAAGACACTGTTGGGTTTGCACTAGTAAACAAACAACATAATGAGCGTGCATCGCCGACCAGAGAATGTGTTCTCTCGACAAATCTCAGATGTTGAACCACTGGAGAAGTTTAAAATTCCTACATTAGAAGAGTACACTGCTGGTCATATCACCTCTTTTGAGTATGTAGTCTGTCTCCTAAAAATTTTCGATGCTTTGAAATGTTGGTTATTCTACACCTTGCTAAGAGACTATGTCCTCGGGTGGTTCAATTGTTTACCCGTGGGAGTGATTGATTCATTTGCTGATTTCAAAAGTATGTTCCTGACATAGTTTACAGACCTTATGGTAGATTAAGCATGGGCAGGATGAAAGCCTACCCTCCTACATCACTAAGTTCCTAAAGAAAATGCTGGGAGTACAAAGCCTGGAGACTAGAGTGGCACATGCTGCTTTAACCCAAGGGTTTAGAGAAAAAAAATTCTGAGACGACCTGGGCTTGACGGAGGCGTGCAGCTTGGCCAAACTATTTGCGGAGGAAAACATTATATATTTTTTTGAAGATTTCGGCCCACATAAAGCTAAACATGGACATAGATCCAATAGCTAAAACATAATAATATCAGCACTGAAAACTGATCAAAGAAATGAAAAGATGCTTCAACCTCACTCATCTAGGAGAAACCAATACAGCCAAAAATAGAAGAAATGTTAGGAAATATATAAAATTAGAGAGCTCAGAATTTTCACGAAGCACATGCGAACATTAATGGCCCATTTGAGTCAGCTTATTTGGTGCGGCGGCGTTTTAAAAACGCACCAGGTCTGTTTAGGTAAACTGCGCTTTGACATCTTATGCATTTTCAAAATGCTGAAAATAACATTTTCACACCGCACATATCTAGGTGCAGTGGCAGTTTTCAGACTGTGAACTGGTTTTTCCAAAAAAAATAAAAATTTGTAATAGTCATCATACCTAGATTATCAACAGATTATTTAATAAGCTGCAGCTGCCCCAAATAGAACCTAAGATTCCGTCCATGGACTATAAATATTAAGATCAAATTATCAAAATACCTTGAATTTTAATGTAAGATTAGAATTCATCTTGGCTCATAAAAAATAGCTAAAATTTTATATTTACATAAATAAGTTTCAAATCTTTAATATTACATAAAAAATAAAGGAGAGGATCTTAATGTCTTGGGGAAGATAAAGAATCCTCCATACAGGACTACGATTGATTACTTCAGAAAAACTCATGAAAAGTTTCCTTATTTTCATATGTTCCATTGGTTATTTTTTTGGCTTGTATGGCTTGATGGTCATGTCTCGTTTGCTGGATTAGTTCGTCGTCCTGGTTAGATAATGTCTTTCACCAGGTCTTAAACGAATCTTGTCGTTGTCTTCGTGAGGACAACCATTGAGACTCATTGTTAGAGCGATTTGCGCCGTACCCTTCGCGGACTTTGTCAATACTTGGAAGGGAAACACCTCCAGAGTTTTAATCGTGTCAAATTTAGAGACGAGATTCTTTATGCTTGTGATTATTGTTTGCTCATCCCGTAAAAGAGCCATTATTTGCTCGTCTTGGAGAAGTGTCATTGTTTGCTCGTCTTAAAGAAGACTCTTTATT